AGGGCATCAGCTAACTGGTCTAGCGGAGTGTGACTACCAAAGACTATGATTTCGGTCTTATTCTCGTTCAATGTAAGAAAATTATGTGATAACCAAATTTTATAAATATAAAATATAAATAAGTATAAATATTTAGACTTGAAAATTACAAAGCTGTTCCATAGTTTTTGTTCCACAAATAGAAATACAAAAGGTTTAATCTGTGGTTTCCTCAATCTGTGTCAAAAATCTGAATCTGTGCGTTCAGCAGTTTCAGAGTTTATGAAGGATTGAACTTCCTGCTTGATTAATGATCCTGATTGCTGTTCTTTGAAATGAGCATAAAAGTGCAGTTTTGTGTGTGTTGACCTCACACATCACTCTACGTAAAGTATGTGGAGTGGTTTGTAAAGCAAACCTAAGGATCTCGTGGACATTTGTTGGGTTTCTCCTGCTGGGCTGACAGATCAGGTGTTCTTGGCCGTCCAGCTGCCAGTTTACTCTGACTCTGAATTCTGATTTTGTGTTAAAGTCAAACCTTTTTTCTCTTTTTTCGTCACCACCTTGGGTATTACAGCTGGAGCTTTGCTTTTATTTATTTACCCACCATTGTTACTCCAGAGGAAACACTTTGCAAATATCCTTCCTGGGCATTTATTGCTTCATTCATTCTGTTGCATATTTCTCTCGCATTAGTTTTTTTGCAGCTAAAGCTAAGCTAAAACACATGAGTTTTTTTTTTAAATTGAAGTTTATGATGATAGTGATTGGATGGTGTAAATATTGTATTTCTCTGCTCCTCGTTATTGTGGTATGGGGAGGTTCTGTGGAACTGAAAAGCTCAGGTGGGGATGTAATCACATTCAGACTCAGTTTAGTTTTACTTGATTTTAAACTGACTTGAGCTGCTCTGCTGTTTCCCCCCATCTGCAGTTTTTGGCCCTTCTCTAATCTCTAACCCAGATTAAAAACCGTCATGTCTGCCGTTCACCTCACGACCAGCAGTAGGATAATGTTACCTGTGAAGAAGCTGCACATTTCTCACCTGTCTCCCTGCTGACAACACAAAGTGCGACTGCTTTCGCTCTGACGGTTTGTTTCTTGTCATCCTTCCTCAGCGGATTCGGGCCACGGTGAACACTCAGGAGCAGAAGAGGCTGCTCATGGATCTGGACATCTCCATGAGGACGGTGGACTGCTTTTACACCGTCACCTTCTACGGAGCACTATTCAGAGAGGTAGAGTCGCAGAAAGGCTGCTGCTCGTTAGTCATTTTCTTTGTGCGCTCGTGGCAGTGTGTCTTTTTGGGGAAAGGAGTGAAGGAAAGTATCTTAATATATTCCACATTGAACTCTCCGTTGTTCAACCAGTCAGGACGGAGTCATTCAAACCTCTCACAGAGGGGTCTTGAAGAAGTAATGGATATAAAGACTAAAACAGTTTAAGTGGGGTCGGGGGGCACCTCTGCAGACTGCCTGATGCAGAAACTTCCTGCAGCAGTGAGTGGATGTTCAGGATTTCCTCACTGGGTCTGAATCACTGGAAAATTTGTCACTTCCTGTCTGTTTGGAATCCGGCCGGCGCCTTTTTTCCTTTTTTTTTTTTGTCCTGATCTGTTTCCAAATCTGCCTGTCTGTTGCCAGGGCGACGTGTGGATCTGCATGGAGCTGATGGACACCTCCCTCGACAAGTTCTACAAGCAGGTGATTGAGAAGGGCCTGACCATCCCCGAGGACATCCTGGGAAAGATCGCTGTCTCAGTAGGTTCACTTAAAGC